CTATTTCACTTTCCTCCCGGTAACCTGCACCAAGCCAGGGGAAGTCAGTCTCATAAGCTTCATAATGTAGGGGACGACGTACATTACGCCGTGGGCGCGCACCAAGAGCTGAGAAGTTCTGAATGTCATCCAACTTGTTAGGGTAGAAGCAGCTTACATCCGGCTCGAAGGACCACTAGTGTTGGGTAGATAACCCGGAAGGGGAGGACTGTAAGGTGTTGATTCAGGTTTGCAGCTGCATCTCCCCGGAGTGTCGGCCAGAACACTACTCTAGGCCCGGATGGCGATTCAGGAAGAAGACACCGAAGACGCCCAGGATGGTTTAAACTCTTGTATTGCCTCCACACAGTCAAAGGTAACAGGCTTGTTGGAGGAGCAGGTGTTACATACAAGTTTAGGTACAGGTGTGTGTGTGTGTCTGTGTGTGTGTGTGTGTGTGTGTGGTCTCTGTAATGAACAGAAAGAAAATAGTACATCACTAAAATGTTCATAATAGTAACTCAGAGTACATCAACAGAAACACAGGTAGGAAAGAAACTAACATCCACTTTGCTACCATAAACCAGATATTACCCACATCCCATACATAAACCCACTGAGCTAATTCAGCACACAATTATCCCCAATCACACGGCAGGAGAGCTAGCCTAACTTAGCTTAGCTTAGCTTAGCTTAGCACTCGCTAGCGACACAAACAGAAACATCTTCACTTCCCTCTAACTTCAACTAGTCACAAACACATTTTATCCGCACATCCTCATACATCACAGACTTACGTTGTTCAGTAACGCACACTTCTCACGAAATGACCACTTCTCTGCTGATAATCGGGAGCAAACACACTCATATAGATTTCACCCACGTATCCACCTACCCAAAACCTCTCCCATCCAAAGTGGTGGGGTGACATCTACAGGTCACTCTAAGCAACTACAGGTGAACAACTGAACAGAATAGAAAGGAGAACTCTTAACTATGGGGCCTTTTGTACAGGGACTGTAAGGAAGTTTGAAGTTTTTATGCTCGCGATCGCCACTCAGGCCTAACGCTTAACTGCAGCTTCAAAAGTAAGCTCGTGCATGAGGTGTGCATGCCGTACGTGCACACTCCTTAACGAAAATAACAGCTGAGACAGTCCTGTGTGTGTGAACGTGCGTGTGTGTGTGTGTGTGTGGCCCGGAGGACAGAGGACAGGAGAACACGCAGCTAATTAATTAAATAATTTGGTTCTGTTCGTATCATCTGACCTGCGACGGTATGTTTTGGACACCCGAGTGAAGAGAGGGGTGGAGCTGTCAACTGATCACCACCTGGTGGTGAGTTGGATCAGATGGCAAGGGAACATGCCGCGTAGACCTGGCAGACCCAAACGCATAGTGAGGGTCTGCTGGGAACGCCTGGCAGAAGAACCTGTCAAGACGGTCTTCAACTCCCACCTCCGGCAGAGCTTTGACCACGTCCCGAGAGCAGTGGGGGACATTGAGTCCGAGTGGGCCTTGTTCCACTCTGCGATTGTCGAGGCGGCTGTTGCTAGCTGTGGTCGTAAGGTGGCCGGTGCCAGTCGTGGTGGCAACCCCCGTACCCGCTGGTGGACACCAGAGGTTCGGGGAGCCGTCAGGCTGAAGAAGGAGGCCTACAGGGCGTGGCTGGTCTGTGGGTCTCCGGAGGCAGCAGACAGGTACCGGATAGCCAAGCGGGGTGCAGCAGTGGCAGTTGCCGAGGCAAAATCTCGGGCGTGGGAGGAGTTTGGTGAGGCCATGGAGAAAGACTATCGATCGGCTCCAAAGAGGTTCTGGCAAACTGTCCGGCGCCTCAGGAGAGGAAGGCAGCAACTCGCTCACACTGTTTACAGTGGGGATGGGGAGCTGCTGACGTCAACTGAGGCTATAGTCGGACGGTGGAAGGAATACTTTGAGGAGCTCCTCAATCCCACCAATGCGCATTCCGAGGAGGAACCAGAGCTGGGAGGCCTGGGGATGGACTGTCTGATCTCGAGGGCAGAAGTTGCTGAGGTAGTCAAACAACTACACAGCGGCGGAGCCCCGGGGGCGGATGAGGTTCGTCCTGGGTATCTCAAGGCTATGGATGTTGTAGGGCTGTTGTGGTTGACACGTCTCTACAACATTGCGTGGTCATCGGGGGCAGTTCCTAGGGAGTGGCAGACCGGGGTGGTGGTCCCCATCTTTAAGAAGGGTGACCTGAGGGTGTGTTCCAACTATAGGGGGATCACACTCCTCAGCCTCCCTGGAAAGGTCTACTCCAAGGTACTGGAGAGGAGGGTCCGATCGATAGTTGAATCTCAGATAGAGGAGGAGCAATGTGGTTTTCGTCCTGGCCGTGGAACTGTGGACCAGCTCTATACCCTTGCAAGGGTGATGGAGGGGGCATGGGAGTTTGCCCAACCAATCCACATGTGCTTTGTGGATTTGGAGAAGGCTTATGACCGTGTCCCCAGGGGCACCCTGTGGGGTACGCTCCAGGAGTATGGGGTGGGTGGCTTTCTGTTAAGGGCCATTCAGTCCCTTTACCAGAGGAGCGTGAGTTTGGTCCGCATAGCCGGTAGTAAGTCGGACCTGTTCCCAGTGAGGGTTGGACTCCGCCAGGGCTGCCCTTTGTCACCGGTTCTGTTCATCACATTTATGGACAGAATTTCTAGACGCAGCCGTGGTGTGGAGTGTGTCGAGTTTGGTGGCAGGAGAATCTCGTCTCTGCTTTTTGCGGATGATGTGGTCCTCCTAGCTTCATCCAGCTCTGACCTTCAGCTCTTGCTGGGTAGGTTCGCGGCCGAATGTGAAGCGGCTGGGATGAGGATCAGCACCTCCAAATCTGAGACCATGGTTCTCGACCGGAAAAGGGTGGCTTGCCACCTCCGGGTCGGGGGAGAGGTCCTACCTCAAGTGGAGGAGTTTAAGTATCTCGGGGTCTTGTTCACGAGTGAGGGTAGGAGGGATCGGGAGATCGACAGGCGGATTGGTTCGGCGTCTGCAGTGATGCGGACGCTGAGCCGATCTGTCGTGGGGAAGAGGGAGCTGAGCCAGAAAGCCAGGCTCTCGATTTACCGGTCGATCTACGTCCCAATCCTCACCTATGGTCATGAGCTTTGGGTAATGACCGAAAGAACGAGATCGCGGATACAAGCGGCCGAAATGAGTTTCCTCCGTAGGGTGGCCGGGCTCAGCCTTAGAGATAGGGTGAGGAGCTCGGACATTCGGGAAGGACTCGGAGTAGAACCGCTGCTCCTCCGGATCGAAAGGAGCCAGTTGAGGTGGTTTGGGCATCTGGTCAGGATGCCTCCTGGACGCCTCCCTGGGGAGGTGTTTCGGGCATGTCCTGCCGGCAGAAGGCCCCCGGGTCGACCCAGGACACGTTGGAGAAGTTACATCTCCAATCTGGTCCGGGAACGCCTTGGGGTCCTGCCGGAGGAGCTGGTGGACAAGGCCGGGGAGAGGACGGCCTGGAGCTCCCTAGTTGGGATGCTGCCCCCGCGACCCGGACCCGGATAAGCGGAGGAAGACGAGAACGACGAGACGACGAGACGAGACGGTTCTGTACCTTTCTCTTCAGCACAGCCGACAAAGGTTTATGATGGGTCAGTCCTCCTGCATGCTCAGATCATTCCCTTCCCTTGCTTGAAAAATTGTTCCAAAATGAAAGTTGAACCCACATCTTTTTTATCCGTGAATTCAGTGCCGTTCGGCGAGTCTCAAATAAAAGTTTGGCCGTCTTATTACTGTAAAAAATATATCATTAATGTAAAAAAGAAACTCCAAATAACGTTCACACCTGGAATCAAACCCAGGTCTTCTGCATGAGAGTCAGACATCTCACAAGGTGAGCTAAAGTGCCAGTGACATTTGATGTATCTGTAACGTTTATATCCTTGATGACAGCTGAGACAACGTCAATCCAAAGAACGGTTTGGAGCAAAAATGGCTATTTTGTTGCTAATTTGCAGGACATATCTAGAAGAAAGTTCTACAGAAAGTAGCTAAGGGTGCTCAGAAATGTAGCTAGGTTCAACACTAGGCGTTAGGAACAGCACAGAATTTGCACATTTGCACAGAACACTTTTATCAATTAAGGGAGTGGAATAAGTTGCCAGTTAATTTAAGAGACAGTCCTTCCTTCCATATATACTTTAAAAGTCAGTTGAAAACTGGCTACTTCGAAATCGTCAAGGCAAACATTAATCATCTGGTTTTATCTATACTTGTTCTTCTTGTTGTCGTTTATCCTTGAAATCTAATGATTTGCCTCATATCTGAATTTGATTCTTTTTTTAGCATGTATGGGGAAATAAGAAGTTATGTTATTCACATATTTTAGCTATCCTTGTTTTTAATTCGTATTTTGTATGTTTTTTACCTTGTTTTAAATTGTAATGTCTGTGCTTTATGTACATGGGACTACGGATGGAAACTAGCTTAGCTAATTTTGGTATATTTACATCTTGTACATTGATTAATATGCATTGTCCCATTCAAATAAATAAATTCAAACTCAAATCAACTGCAAGATGCTATCCTATCAATATGGGCTAACATTTCTAAAGAATGCTTTCAGCACCTTGTTGAATCAACGCCACATAGAATTAAGGCAGTTCTGAAGGCGACAGGGGGTCAAACACCGTATTAGTAACAGAAAGTTGTTAAAATGCATCAACTCAGTGGATTCAATACGAGTTTTAAAGAACAATCTCTGAGCGAAGTGAGATTTTTTTGGTCTGACTGCAGATATAAAAACTAGCTCTGAGCATCAGTCAGACACCGCTAAACTCACCGACACTCCTGTAAGAAAATCTGATGAAATCACCTGTAGAGTCCACATCCAGAAGGCTGGACCATGTTTCACTGACAGGCTGTCAGACTGAAGCCCTGATGAGCTCAGCTGGGACACAACGGTCCATCCAAACTCCCGCAGGGAGGCGTTCTCCTTAGCAAGCCACCACCTTCCATTCCCCTCCACTTCAGTGGATGATGTCTCTGCGTTTGTCTCACCAGGCCCAGTCTCTGGCTTCGTCTCTGTCCACCAGACAGCTGCTGAGGATCTGCAAGCGCCTGTCCCAGTATCCTGATGAGAGCATTGCTCAGGCTGTCCATAAAGCTTGTCTCTCCAGGTGAGTCCACATCCTTAGACAGGTTCCTCATCAACTTCAACAGGAATTCACTCTTTTAAAATGTTGACGCTTTTAAGAGCGGCTTGTTAAAAGAACTTAATGAGCGCTTCTTCGATCACAGTAAAAAGCAAGCTATGTTCAAGACAAACAGAAGTCCACAGCAGCGCAGAGGACCGCCCCCATACCCCCATATAATGCCATAGTGTAATCTTTTGTAAGAAAGGACACAACTGTGCCACATTACCACCATGGTCTGACCACTTATTAATAATCTAAGGCTCCCTGATGCCGCCACGGCTTTGTAGCAACTTGGCATCATTGTTTTCTAAAAGAGGCCAAAGGCTGTCTTTAGAGCCCCGCACGGGCCTAAAATCTGAGCCCGTGTCCGGCCCGGCCTGAGGGGGTGGAGCCCCGGCCCGACCCGGTCCGAAAAGGTTTTCAGGATTCTCTGGCCCGACCCGAGCCCGACTTTTTTTTAACCAACTAAATGAAAACAAAGTGCGTCAATCCTGACCAATGTGTTAAAATACGTGCAGGATCTGATCAATTTGTTTTTCCCTTGTTTACCGTCACGGAGATTAACGGCACACTGGCTCTGGTGGTAATCAAGTTAAATTTTATCTCTTTCCAACAATTTTCACAAGAAAGCAGAAAAGTTAAAAGCAGGGCTTATGTTGTGTTGACCGGATAGTTCCCGTATTTGACCATTTATTTTGACGGAGAAAGAATAGAAAGAATTACCCCAATGCATGCAGACGAACTGACATTTTATTCTACGCACATCGCAGATGTTGCTAAATCACACAAGAAAAGATTCCCATCTGATCATCTGAGCTGGACACTGCTCAGCGCAGCTCGCTGTCAGCGCATTGGTGCACAGCGAGCTGAAGTTGTGGAGAGGGGTTTGGAGCGCGTTGCAGAACCAGAGCACATGCGGGAAGGTTCCTCCCACTGAAGCGAGAGTTTTCCAAACCCGGTCTCTCAGAGAGACTTGTCACTTAGAAAATGTTCCCTGATTATGAAACTTGGGCTGAATAGTGCTTGTTCCTGTCTCCAATGTGGCGACGCATCCAGGAGCCGTCTGAGGAGACGCCCAGAATCTCACATCCTCTTCAGCTCAGAAAGCGCCTATGATTACGCACAAGCGTGACCCGTCAACCCGGTCTCACAGTAAGACGGGCCTGTTCAGGTTTACGCAGACAATCTTTACATAGAATTGACTTACAGATATAAAATTAATTCAGTAAAATATAAAGCATTTTATTTAAATATCCATTCATTATTTTACAAGCACAGAGAGCCACATCAGATTCAGATCAGCGGGAAGATTCCTCCGACTGAATTCAGTCGGAGGAATCTTCCCGCATGCGCTCTGGTTCTGCGACGCGCTCCAACCCCCTCCCCACATCTTCAGCTATCTGTGGACCTTATCAGAATCAGAATAGGTTTATTACCATTGTCAGTGAACAAACAATTCACAAACTAGGAACTTGCTTTGGTACTAATGTGCTACATATAACATGAACACATAATAAGATTAAAAATAGAATCAAATAGAATAAAACTTGCAGCTATAAAAAATGGATGGCAGGTAATGGTAACATGGCCGATAACGTGACGTTGTGTCGAGTACAGAAGAGGAGCATGGTTGTGTGTTTATAAGCTATTCACAAGTCTAACGGCAGACGGAAAGAAGTTGTTCTTATGGCGGGAGGTTCTGGTCCGGATGGACCGTAACCTCCTGCCTGAGGGAAGCAGCTCAAAAAATCTGTGTCCCGGGTGAGAAGGGTCAGCTGCTATCCGACCTGCATGTATGTAGTACACGCTGACAGCGAGCTGCGCTGAGCAGTGTCCAGCTCAGATGTTCAGATGGGAATCTTTTCTTGAGTGATTTAGCAACATCTGCGATGTGCGTAGAATAAAATGTCAGTTCGTCTGCATGCTTCGGAGTAATTCTTTCTATTCTTTCTCCGTCAAAATAAACGGTCAAATACGGGAATTATCCGGTCAACACAAGCCCTGCTTTTAACTGTTTTGTTTTCTTGTGAAAATAGATCAAATTAAACTTGATTAACACCAGAGCCAGGCGCACTGCACCGTTATCTCCGTCACTGTAAATGAGGGAAAAACAAAATGATCAAATCCTTTTCTGACCTTCCCCACCTACAAAGTTTAATTACAACAATCAAACGTGACAGAGCCTGGATTTGTATTCTGAACAGTCTAAACATGTTTTAAAAAGACACGTATGACAAAAGTGGCACCTGCTCAGTAAAACCACCAACAGGGTGAAAAATATTAAAATATTGTAGGCAGAGACGGGCTACAACTTCTGGATCCAATTTATATAAATCGTTTTATTGATTATCTTCTTATGAAAGATAGCTTTGACGTACACGAGCGACCGGTACCGGCTGCTGTCACCTGTTGTGAGCAGCTCTCTGCTGTCTGAGGGTAGGCCCCGCCCACAACGCCGCGGCTGCTGTGGCTCCCAGTGTTTTCTTTACTGTGGGAAACGGGTAATAATGGCTCTTTGATGGGAACAGGTTGCCGACCCCTGGTTTAAGTGTTTCAATTTTTTAAATGAATTCGATTAAAAATAAAGGCACCCGGCCCGTGTCCGAGGTAATTACACTGTCGTTGGCCCGAATCCCGGCCCGAGGGCCTAGGTCTTCAGTGCAGGGCTCTAACTGTCTTGGTCAGCTTAGTTACACAAAGCTCTTAGTCAGGAATCTTGGTGTGACCTTTGACCCAGCCCTTACCATGGATTCTCATGTCAGTTCTTGTTAGGGATTTTATCAATAACTCAATACTTGCAGTCGAAGAGAAAAGGAGACGATAAGCAGACAAGTCACCAAACTGCAATCGGGGCAGAGCACGAGGCAACTGCCAAGAGATTCTGATCTGAGAGTTTATGTTATAACATGAGATAAGAAAAGAACAGAGGTGTGTGTGTGTGTGTGTGTGTGTGTGTGTGTGTGTGTGTGTGTGTGTGTGTGTGTGTGTGTGTGTGTGTATGGGAGTGAGGTCACAGAGAGACAGTGCGTGTGTGTATGGGAAGAACAAGAATGTGTGGGTGTGTCTGAGTGTGAGCATGCTTCCAGGCATATAGTAATACATTAGTTAATAGGATTAAAGTAATGAAACATAAAAATTCTGTACAGTTCTCTTGTTGGCTCTTCCTTCTTCCATCTCAGGAACATTGCTAAGCCGAGTCACATCCTGTCTCGCTTTAAACTTGAGACTGTTCTCCACACCTTCATCTCCTCATGCTTAAGTGGTGTGTACACTGTGTGCCTGTTTTACTTGCAGCATTCTGCTCCATCTCAAGCTATACAATTTCCTCATAGAGTGAAGCGAACGAGACGTGTTCTCACGCTGTACGACCCATTACGATACGACCTGGCTGTACGTCTGGTAGCAACACGTCCCACCTTCGAGTCCAAAGACCCGGAGACTGTTGTGGTGTTATCCGGAGACTGTTGTGGTGTTATAGATGTCTTGTTTTTTTAACCTTTATGTGCAAAGAATGAACAAATACAAACTTTTTCATTCATATCTGTTGTCTTTGCTTGCCATAAGAGGACACACAGGGATTTATGGGAGTTGAAGGAGAAAGTGGAAAGAAAGTAAAACATTGTTTAGGGATATTTTTATTTTATTTTATTTTTTTTACATAAGCACAGAAAATAAGCTTTCTTGAAAGTTCTGGTCATTGTGTGCAGAGAAAAGTGTATTGGTATGAAAATAGCTGGGGAGCTAGGTTGGCGCCTCCGCTGTATGAATGATTGGGGTACTTTTGGGTCACAGTTCAGCTTCAATAGTGTGAGACCTTCATGAGGGATGAGCAAAAGATCAAGCATTTGATAATTGTGCAATCGCACATCTGCTGATTGTGAGGTGGTCGTGAGGGGTTAAAGGCCTCTCGCAACACTAAATCATCTCTTCTGCTAAATGAATAAACATAAACAACACCCTTCATACTACTGGATGCACAATGTAGGGCTGAAGGATGCAAATTTTCTAGAAGAAATTGCGATTTCAGTTAGGGTTGCAGGGATTAACTGGTTTGACTAGTAACCACGGTTAACCCCTGTAAATTTCAGCTATATTAGAAATATTCCCACACAGGAGACTTAAGCTGCTTCTGAGGTGGAAATGGAGCAGTCCCGATGGTTGTGGTCACGCTTCAGCTTCTGCGCGTTCAGTTTCACTTTTGTTTTTGTCCGTGTGGTCTATTGTGTTTTTGTCTTTTATAGCCCGCGTTGTAGCCGTTTTTACGGGTTTAACTGCAGATAATAGTCAAACCGGTTAATCCCTACGACCCTACTTTCAGTTCAAATCACGATTTTCTTCAAATCAAAGTTCAACGTATTCATAATTTAGATGTCGGCTCATGTTGGAGCGAGGGCTGTGTGGGGCGTCTTGTTCTGTCTGAAAACGAAGCAGTACAAGTGATAATGCTGCAGGATTTCATAATGTTATCCTTCTCAGCAGCAGCACTGCAGGTGCTCTCCATGTCCAACATGTGCGTAAGCCAGGTCCTTAGTCAACTTAAAGTTGCGCAGAGTTTTCCGCTGTTTTCTTTCATAAATCCCAAAGTTTGCGTGGAAAGTTGCTTACGCAGTTTTCCTGCCACGTTTGTGCGTAAGCAAGCTTGATAAATGAGGTCCCAGGTCTTTAGGACCTTACATGGACAAGCACCATCATACATTGGTGGTCTTCTCAGTGCCTACACTCCCAGCAGGTCCCTGAGGTCCAGTGATTTAATCTGTTCTGGTTTATTTTGGCATTTCAGGTTCTTGCCAAGCTTGGCTCGGGCCTCTCTGGAGAAAAGCCTCTCTAGCTGCTCCATCCAGGACTCACCGGATGCTGCTGAACTCACGCATGATTATTGCTGTAAGTTACACTCATACAGAAACGGTAAACCAAAAATATTCAGTTGATATGAGCAGATTTTAGGGATGATAATAATAATAATAAATGATACAAAGAACTGTTAGGGTTTTACTATGTGAACTCCTTCATTAATTAACGCTGACAAATATATTATTGTGTAATAATGCAATTTTTATTACTTTGAAATTCTGTTACTCAACCTCCGAACTGTTTAAAAACATAGGAACAGACATTCTGCGCACACACACACACACACACACACACACACACACACACACACACACACACACACACACACACACACACACACACACACACACATATCAAATATACGAGCGCGCGCACACGCACACGCACACGCACGATGTCCTGATTGAAACATGTTTGGTTCACATGGTTCTGACTGCCATATGCATCGCCAAGAAAACTATCCTCATGAATTGGAAAAATAGAGATACTCTTTGCATTAACCAGTATAGAAATCTTTTGTTAGCTCATATTACACTTGATACAGCCTCTGCTTCCACTTCAAATCAATCTCTTTGGGCTCCTTTGATCGGTTCCATCACATAGAGATGATGGGGGTCATTGGTATTGTCTTGTGGGATGATGTGGGTGATTGGGCGGAGGGTCTGAGTTTGAAGTTAGAGCCCTGCACTGAAGCCCTAGGCCCTCGGGTCGGCCCGGCCCGACGGCCCTCGGGCCAACGACTGTGTCATTACCTCGGACACGGGCCGGGCGCCTTCATTTTTAATCGAATTCTTAAAAAAAAAATTGAAACACTTAAACCAGGGGTCGGCAACCTGTTCCCATCAAAGAGCCATTATTACCCGTTTCCCACAGTAAAGAAAACACTGGGAGCCACAGCAGCCGCGGCGTTGTGGGCGGGGCCTACCCTCAGACAGCAGAGAGCTGCTCACAACAGGTGACAGCAGTCGGTACCGGTCGCTCGTGTATGTCAAAGTTATCTTTCTTAAGACGATGATCAATGAAACAATTTATATAAAATGGATCCAGAAGTTGTAGCCCGTCTCTGCCTACAATATTTTGATATTTTTCACCCTGTTGATGGTTTTACTGAGCAGGTGCCACTTTTGTCATACATTTCTTTTTAAAACATGTTTAGACTGTTCAGAATACAAATCCAGGCTCTGTCACGTTTGATTTTTGTAATTAAACTTTGTAGGTGGGGAAGGTCAGAAAAGGATTCGATCAGTTTGTTTTTTCCCTCATTTACAGTGACGGAGATAACGGCGCAGTGCGCCTGGCTCTGGTGTAAATCAAGTTTAATTTGATCTATTTTCACAAGAAAACAGAACAGTTAAAAGCAGGGCTTGTGTTGACCGGACAGTTCCCATATTTGACCGTTTATTTTGACGGAGAAAGAATAGAAAGAATTACCCCGATGCATGCAGACGAACTGACATTTTATTCGTTTTGCACATCGCAGATGTAGCTAAATCACTCAAGAAAAGATTTCCTTCTGAACATCTCAGCTGGACACTGCTCAGCGCAGCTCGCTGTCAGCGTGTACTACATAAGGTCCACAGCGAGCTGAAGATGTGGAGAGGGGCTTGGAGCGCGTCGCAGAACCAGAGCGCATGCGGGAAGATCCCTCTGACTGAATTCAGTCGGAGGAATCTTCCCTCTGCTCTGAATCTGATGCGGCTCTCTGTGCTTGTAAAATAATGAATGGATATTTAAATAAAATGCTTTATATTTTACTGAATTAATTTTATATCTTTAAGTCAATTCTATGTAAAGATTGTCTGCGTAAACCTGAACAGGCCCAACTCAGTCTTACGGTGAGACCGGGTTGATGGGTCATGCTTGTGCGTAATCATTTGCGCTTCCTGAGCTGAAGAGGATGTGAGATTCTGGGATTCTCCTCAGACGGCTCATGGATGTGTCGCCACATTGGAGACAGGAACAAGCGCTATTCAGCCAAAGTTTCATAATCAGGGAACATTTTCTAAGTGACAAGTCTCTCTGAGCGACAGGGTTTGGAAAACACTCGCTTCAGTGGGAGGAACCTTCCCGCATGTGCTCTGGTTCTGCAACGCGCTCCAAGCCAATCTCCACAACTTCAGCTCGCTGTGCACATGTTATGCGCTGACAGCGAGCTGCGCTGAGCAGTGTCCAGCTCAGATGTTCAGATGGGAATCTTTTCTTGTGTGATTTAGCAACATCTGCGATGTGCGTAGAATAAAATGTCAGTTCGTCTGCATGCGTTGGGGTAATTCTTTCTATTCTTTCTCCGTCAAAATAAACGGTCAAATACGGGAACTATCCGGTCAACACAAGCCCTGCTTTTAACTGTTTTGTTTTCTTGTGAAAATTGTTGGAAAGAGATAAAATTTAACTTGATTAACACCAGAGCCAGTGCGCCGTCATCTCTGTGACGGTAAATGAGGGAAAAACAAATTGATCGCATCCTGCACGTCTTTTAACACATTGGTCAGGATTGACGCACTTTGTTTTCATTTAGTTGGTTAAAAAAAAGTTGGGCTCGGGTCGGGCCAGAGAATCCTGAAAACCTTTTCGGACCGGGCCGGGGCTGGGGCTCCACCCCCTCGGGCCGGGCCGGACACGGGCTCAGATGTTAGGCGCCGTGCAGGGCTCTATTTGGAGTATCCAGAAATTCCCTGGAGGTGGGCTCACTGGGGGTGTGTGGGGCTGGGGGGCAGCTGCCCCGCTCTGGAGGTGCTTGGGTTGCATCTGAGATTGGCAACTGGCAGTTGTGAGTTGGGCCCCTTGGGGGGTCTTGGCGGTGGGCATGGGTTGCTGCCTGGCGGCTGCATCGCCCCTGAGTGGGTCTGAGTAGGGGCCTGGGGGCTCAGGGTGTGGGGGGCGTCCGGCCCCGTGTGGGGATCTGGGCGGAGCCTTGGGGATTGGGTCCTGACATGTATGCGGTCGGGAAGAAGGCGGGAACATGCGGCAGCACCTGGCCCAGGCTCAGGGGCCTCAGGTGGACCTTGGCTCCTCTGAAAAAATAATTCTGTCCCATCACGGGGGAGGGGGAGGTCCAGGAGGGGGAGGACCCAACTTTACCTGGATGTCCTATGTCTTACATATTCTGGAAGTTGTGCAAATACTGCTGGGGTGGGGCTGGGTTGGTGCCCTCGGACTCCGTGAGGCTCTGTGATGCTGATGCTTTGGGCCCTGGCAGGATGGGCTGGGGTCTCCATGCCCTGGGTGGCATTTTGGCAACAGAGGGACCTATTGGGGCCAGTGGGGGAGCTGGCTCCCTGGAGGGCTTAAGTCCAATCAGCCATTCCTCCCCATCCCCACACATTTCTCTCCTCCTGCTCCCTCACATCATCACACAAACATGCACATAGGATCTTGGGGATGGACAAGTCAGGCGGTGCAGGTATGGACCCCATTTCCGCATTCCTGTGGCAACCTGCCCCCCAATTTTATTTGCACCTTAAATACTTCCACCAACGACATTCCACGCAATCACACACTTTGGGCCTTGGGAGTGAGCACATTCAACAGCATTAGGCTGTGGGGGGAAGCGGGGTGGTGTGGTAGCATCAGCTGGCGTAGACCAGACGATGCTACCACTGCCTGCTCACCACAGCCATGGAATACACCTCATCAACACGTACCAACACTGTATTGGAGAAGGCGGAGGGAGACTAGGGGCCTTAGCACTCCCCTGTTGTCGCTTGGCTTCCTGGGGCTGGAGGCTAGGAGGGGGATCTAGCCATTTGGGTGGGGTCTGGGGTGGTGGGCTGCTGTGCTCAGCGTTGGGCGGGGGAGCCTGCTCATCAGCACCCCAGCAAAAAGGGTTGAAATCTGGGAACCGGTAATGGTTGTACCCTCTGTGCAGCAGCAGTACTGGGGCCAGAGTGAATAGGGTGTGTATGGGGAGCATGAGTGGGTGTTTGGTGTGCATTTTTGTAAGTCTTTGGTTGTATGTGCATGTGTGAGCATGAGGGAGGGAGTGTGTGACTGTGTTTGTGTATGACTATATGTCAGGTGGGTCTTGGACTCCTCCCCTCTTCTGGGACTTCTTGTGCTGCTATACATCTTCGTCTCCCCTCCCCCTGCCACATTTGGTGTGGAGTGCGGTGCCTTGGTCTGCCTGAGTGTTCATGGCTCCCGGGTCAGGCTTCCTGGTGGGATCTGGGTCCCTGGGCTCTGTTGGGTCCCCGGCTGGGGTGGTTGCCCTGGGTTGCTGGGTTCTGGGCTCGGTCGGCTTGGGGGTGGGAGGCTGCGGGCGGGCCTGTGGGCTTGCCACTGATATGTCCCGGGACTCTGTCGGCTGCCTGTTGCGGCCCCCCGGGGCAATCCTCTGCGCCTCTCGAGGGGGGCAGGGGCTTTTCTGGTTACAGTCTCCCTGGGGTCCCAGCACTCTGGGGCAGCTCCTGGATCTCTGGGACTTGGAGCTCCTTCCATCTCCTACGCATCCTTGGGGGGCAGATCTTTCGCCCCTCACACTCTCTATTAGACGCTCCTATAGAGAAACCTTACATAAACAAGCGCGTTTACACACACACGTGCTCACATGGTGCTCTCTTAAGTATGGACTTGGGCACGTTCAACACAAGTCTTAAGGCTGTGGTGGGCACTTAATGCACTGTGATTTATTATCGTGTTATTGTTCAGTAGTTTAACAATGTTGATTTTATATTTCCTCATCAGGTTGATGCAGTGATAGCTTGCTCTTGTTGTATTGTTGTGTGTCCCTTTTCTGCAGGTCTAGAAGCAGACTCTTGTTCATCATTGTTTATTTTTGGGGATTTTAAATTATACATATGTCAAGAATTTATTCTGATATTTTACTAATAAAAGTAAACATTAGACTGGACTGGAAACTGATGTTTGCTCCTGGTGTTTCTCAAGGTGGAGTCCATGATGGTGTCCTGACCATTGGTAAAGTCACAACTTCGGTCTACAGCCCTGACCAAAAGATCAAGGTTCCAGATGTCCTCTTCTATGATAATCCCCAGGTGATCAGACACCCCAACACAACTGTGCATTGACTCCTTCTGTCCTAGAAGTGAACCAAAACCACTAAAGTATTGCAGAGGTCATTACTTCAGCTGCGTTTATAGCACCATGCTTCAGGAGCTTATTTATACTCTTGGATCTGGTGTTAGCCGTTACCTCCTGTGGGTCTGTTCTCACAGTTACGCTGATTCCTGCCCCCGTGCCTCCTAAGGTACCTATGCTGCTATGGTAAAAGAATCAAGCCAGCTACATTCCCCACTTTAGGGCCCTCTCACACAGAACTGTAGAAGCCCTAGATGACATAGGGTGTGTCCGAATCCAGGGGTAGGATTCTTGTGAGGACGCATTGTGAGGTCAGTGACATCACAGCGCAGCAGTGAGTACTGTCCGAATTCTAGGAAACACATTCTCACATCATCAAATGCGTCCTTGTTCCACTCAAATTCCCAAGATGTGTCTGGTGTATCCTCACCGGGCAAGGACTTCCCAGCATGCATTGCGTGGCGGCCATTGGATTTTCAACAGGAAGGAGAAACGGGAGAGCAGCAACATTTAAATGTAAGTGTGGTAAAAATAAAAGGCTTAAAGCGGTTCTGTTTATAGGCATTTTTCGTTGGTATATTTGTTTTTTTAGATGACATTTTAGGCAGAAATAACCAAAAACAAGCTTGTATGTCCCGTAATTATTCCCATTTCTGTGTGTTTCTTTAGCGAACTAAGTTTCTTGTCTTTTGTTTTCGGGACAACAGAGCAAAGAAGCTCATTTATTAAGCTTAGAGGTGAAGAGTGAACCTATTTACACGTGACCACAGTAGTTCTTCTTATTTTCTGCCCTGAAAAGTACTTTTTCATTCAGGGTTTAGCACAGTTGACACGTTTTAAACAACAATTAAATTTTCTGTGTTTAGGACTGCAGGTGTCCAGGGTCAGGAGACAGTCACTATTATTATGAAGCTAATGTTATTTAGTTTTTTGTTTCAATGCGTTTATTAAAACCAATACTAACTGGTAAATCACCTGATCATTCATTTTATTGCCACTCTTATTATTAGGGTTCCAAGCCCAACGGACAGGGAACCCTATAACCCTTCTCCGCTAATACTGTATAGGCACAAGAGCCTGAAATTGCCAGGAAAAATCTGACATGGCAGTCTGATAGCAAATCCTGACCGCTACTCAGATTCGAAAATTTGGACCCCGAGTCGCCTAGGTGGCGCTATTGTGGAGGTGAAGGCGTTTCAGCTACTAGCTCCCAAACCGTAGGTCATAGTGAAAAACTTTATATGTACATGAATCTTGGATGATTCTGCATCTTTTTTTTATTGGTCATGCCCATTTCTGCCTAACCTGATTTTTTGCTAGATCGCAAAAAACGCAAAACTTAGTTTTAATCAGCTATTCGTCATTTTTCGTCGAATCAACTTCAAGCATTATACATATGATCTATGGATGAAGCTAAGTTGTTGTCACGAAGAAAAATGCGGAATTATTGAAAATTGGGCTAATGACACCATGTCAAATTCAGTGCGCTAGCTAGCACATGTGATAATTGATGATATCTTCACCATTTTTCAAGATAAAATGATGAGACTCTAGACCCTTCCAAAGTATGGGTGGTAAGCCCTATCTATGCAATTTTGTTTGGATTCACCAATAGGGAGCGCTAAAGAGTCAAAAAGTTTGTTTCAGCAAAACGGCTTGATGGATTTTCACAGAACTTGGCAGATATGTTTATCATCAGACCCCTAAGCTATATTTCGAAAATGATTAAAAAGTGGGCATGGCTTATAGGCTTTTAAAAAATTTTCGCCCTTTTACTCATGAAAAATATATATTCTGTACAGAAAGTTTCAAATTGTATCAGTCATAGTGACATCTACAATCACAGAATTTTTTTTTGAATTTTGTCCTATAGGTGGCACTGTTGTAGCCAAAAAATGTTTTTGGCATGTTTCTCCTCAATTTTTTAGTAAAAAAAAACCAAATGATCTCATCATGTATGGTCATTGAGTCAGTCAAATTTAGATGAGTATTTTAAAATTTTTTTAAACTTATGCAAATTAGTAGAAATTTGCATAGTAAGTCAAACATACTTTCGTTAACTCCTCCCGGCCGTCAAACATAATCAAATCAAAACATGGCCTGACAAGAGAGGAGGAGCGGCTGACCAAACGATATGAACGAATTTTTGATAATTCGCTTATTTTTCGAAATATGACTTTTTAAAATATTTTTTTATTGGAATGAAAAAGTTGTTTTTTTAGCATAACTTCAAAAGATTTTGACATTTTTCAAAGCTGTTCATAACCCTCATACCTAAGGTCAATTCAAGTGTATGTCTTGATTTTCAACTTGATTCAATAATAGGGGGCGCTATAAATAGGAAGAAATTATACTGCTGAACCGGCTAAATGGATCTGCACGAAACTTAGTGGTTGTCATCATTATAGAGTCTTAAGACTACGTTATCAATATGGTAATGATTGATTAATGTGGGCGTGGTTTATGATCATTTAAAATTTCAAATTTGAAAAATTTCCTAAAAATCATTATTTGCATGTAAGAGGCTAAGATTTTCAGGTTGTGTTAACTGGGTAGCCTTGAGCTTATGTCACGAAAATTGCGCTCCACGAAGAGGTTTGCGCTTTATATTTACGAAAATACATGTTTAGGCTAGCAATTGTAGCGCAAATTCTGTTATCACAATATTCTTGAAATTTGCCACAAAGTCCACTCTTAGGTGTTTTATGAAACACATAAAATGTCGTCTTAATTTGAGCTCCCCCTTGTGTTTAATTGTAGGACTTATTTTTGTTTACAGCCACTAATGCAAATATTATTTTATTGTAAGAAAAGTTTAACATTTATGATCCCAACAAAAATATAAGCACAATTCTCATCACAGAGGTAATCTTTGAATATTTTGAGATTTCTGTACAAAAGCATAGATTTTTAATGGATTTTTTTACTTATTGCCAGTTTTTCTGTACAGTTGGACAAAAAAGTAAATCATTTTTTTAGAAAGTTTTTTAGGTATACAATAAATATAAACCATTTACAACATTCCAAATGTACCTTTGGCGATCTGAGATTTTCCTACTAATTTTAGAAAGTAGCACTATTTTTTTATGAATATTTTAATTTTGTCTGTGACCCTTATAGTTATATTTACCAATTTTTCTTCAAAAAAGCTTTGGATCTACTGATTTAAAAACAGCAGCATATTATTCTGCATGTTAACTTTGCCAAGTGAGAATATTTTGGTAATTTTATGATGATTTATGTATTTTTCAGGATTTTTTAAAACATTTGGTCAGTAAATCACTAAATGAATCTCATAGTTTTTGTTGAAAATCTAATAAATCTAGAGACATTCTCAAGTATTTATGTTATTTGTAATATTCTGTTGATGTATAGATTATAGTTTGTTATTCTTTAGATCAAATATAGATTTTATAATGAAGTTTTTGTTTCGGTCAGTTTAATTGTACATTTCAATATATTTATTTTTTTGAAAAAGCATTTAATTTAGAATCAATAATATGATAACACCTGATTTCTCATGACTTCACTCATTAAATGTTCACGTTCTTTAAACAGGAAATGGTGGAATTCCATTGTAATCATGATTGAGAAGTCAGCCATGCCTGTGAAAGATACGTGTATAGGCTGTGCAAGAGGTTTAGTGACGTATCCTGAGTGATACTTTCACTGCGCCGGCTGAAGTGAGCTGACGGGGCGCCGGCTGGAGAACGTGTTTTTGGGGCGGGACTGCGTGAGGAATGGCGAAGGTGAGGGCGTGGCCGGGTGGGCGACTGGCGCTGGATGGCTTGGAACTCGTTGATAACTGCTTGCAGTTCTAGTTTAATGTTGTTTTTGAACATGTCACATGAACAGAACATGGTAAGATAGTAGGGGCACAAGATTACCTTTAATATGTGACAATTATTTATTGATCAGAACAACTATGGACCAGTTATGTACAGGACAGAGCACCGCTGACCACCTCCAAAACAGCCTCTCACCATCTGCAGCATCTTCCTCCAGGGCCACAACTTCACCAGCACTCAGGCAGATGTGCAGAATAGTGCATGCTGACCTGTAATAGAGGGGAAGAGTTTTTTTATTATTAAATTAAAAACAAACATATTACCTGCAGTAGATTTGTTCTGTTGAAAGAAAACAGGGAATAATAATATAAAAAACTACAGAAGATTTACATTTTTAGAAGGGATCTCAGCATTATTAGACTTAAGCTGAATAAACAAATGCACACTGAGAACACTTGAGTGCTCTTTTATCAACTTTAAGTTCGTTTTTAATACTTTAGACTCTTAATGCTCAATAAGAAGTTCTAAGATCCAATTAATACTAGAAAATGTCCTACTGCATTCAGCATTTTAAATGTATTTGATTATATTAATTATCTACATTTTCATACTCTGTAGTAATGTTTACATTTAACTACCAGTTCTGTAGCTTAAAACATACATGAAACTATTGAAAGTTAACATGTAATTCCTGAAAGCTTGTAGACTAAACAAAACTACTTTACCTGGAAATGGTTGTCTCTAAGTCTTAAGAACAAACGGTGGTGAAGGAGGTGAAGCTGCTGTGGCTCCTTAAACATCCCTGCTAGAGCTTTTGCTAGCTTTGCATGTTAGCTGCCATCATGGTTATTTTATTATTTATTATTTATTCTTTATTTAACCAGGAACGTCCCATCGAGACCTCATTTTTAAGGTAGTCCTGGCCAAGAGGCAGCTAAAGTTACAGTTACAAATGTTTCAGTTACACAGACATGTTATGTACAAAATTACTGAAGGCAGTTACAACACAGGGAATCTGTCTCAATGGCCCTCAGTCTGGTTTTAAATGTATTCAAGGAGATAAACTTGGTTAATTTCCAGTTTACCTGCAGCCTGTTTCATGCAGAAGGAGCAGAGGTAATGAAAGCCCTTTTGGCCAGTTCGGTGTGAGTAAATACAACACAAAGTGTGCTGGTGGTGGTCGGAGGGTCCGGTGGCGCCTGTGCTCGGCAGCCTCGCCTCTCATCTCCACCAGTGTATGAATGTGTGTGTGAATGGATGAATGATACACTGTAGTGTAAAGCGCTTTTGAGTCCTTACTCTGAGAGGCGCTATACAAGTGCGGGTCAAAGTGACAGCTGATCGTTTGTCTGTGAGAAGTTACGCTTTTCTGTAAGATGAAGTTACAGATGTAGGTGGGTAGTAATCCAAGCATGACCTTATAAATAAAAGTGTACCAATGTCCCGACCTCCTGGTGGACAAAGAAGACCATCCCACTGGAGAATACAATTCACAATGATGGGTCAGTGGTCCACAGTCAGTAATAAACTTCAGCGAGGCACGATAAACCACATCAGTCTTACCAAGACACTGTGCTGAGGCATTCATATACAAAAGGTCTCCATAACCCAGAATAGACAGAAATGTTGCAGTAACTAGTCGTTTTTTTAATTTATTTTTTATTTTTTTGGCCTCACAGGAAAAACACAGTTTATTTAGAAAAAGAAACCCGTCTGAGTTTCTACACAAGATTATCTATATGGGGCTTGAAGGAGAGGGAGTCATGGAGCCAGATATAAGGTATTTGTATGTGTGGACCACCTCTATGATGTTTCCCTCAAGAGTGGTCACTGGGGGCATCCTTAGAGTTCTTAGCTTAGTCTTGTCAGCACTGAGGACCAATTTTAACTGCAGAAGTGTTTGTTGGACCTCATTAAAATCTTTCTGTAAGAACATAACAGCTTTAGTGGGGGATGTTCCAAAACAGTAAATGATTGTGTCATCAGCGTAAAAGTGCAAATTAGCTTCCGACACATTTTGTCCTTTGTTACTAATACACCTAATGAACCAGAGGGGTCCCAAAACTGAACCCTGTGGTACTCCCTTGTGGACACTCAAAAACTCAGAGGACAACCCATCACATTCAGCACACTGAGTTCTGTCCTTCAAGTAGTCTGTGAACCATGAGATGAAATGTTCAGACAATCCCAAACAAAGAAGCTTTTGTTTAAAACAGCATGGTCTTCAGGGTCAAAGGTGTTTGCCAGATCAATAAAAGGTGAAGCACAGTACTGCTTTTTATCCAGAGCAACACGTATGTCGTTGATCAGCTTTGTAGCTGCAGTGATGGTGCTGTGCTGCTTTCTGAAACCTGATTGGTGACTTGAGAGAGAGTCTTTAATCGTTCACTTACAGGGTCTCTAGAAGCTTCACCAGGACACACAGATTAGACATTGGTCTGTAATTAGTTAATAGAGCTGGGTCACCATCTTTTAGTAAGGAGACACAAAAGCAGAATTCCTAACTGACGGTTTTTGTTTGTTTTTGATAGGAAGGTTCAAAAGAGGCTCTGCTATGAAAGCAAAAGGACCAGGCTAAGTTATAAGGTTATGTGTGTGTTCTGTTTGTGTCTACAGCACATGATGGTGATGGAGGATATGTTGAAGGACTTTTTGTTAGGAGAACACCTCCTCTTGGTGGGAAACCAGGTAAGAAAATCTTCATTCCTCAGGTTTTTGTTGTGATTTACATCTTTTCTCACTAGCCTGCCCTGTCTACAGAAGATTGGTTAGAGTTGTCCCCTTACAGGAGCGTGGACCTGTCGGTGTCTCCTGCTTTTGCTGCAGTAAAGTAGGGCACCCACTTCTGCTTTGTTTTAACACAGGGAAAATGTTCAAAGTCATCCTAAAGTCACCCTCAATCTCACTGCTGCCATCAGGACATGTGAAAGACTCCCTCAGCCACACACGAAAAACAAAATTAATACTAAAAGGTTTAAATATCTGGGAATTTGGATGTCCCTAAATTACAAGGATCTTTATAAATATAATTTTTTGCCCCTCATAGATCGATTGAAACAAGATGTTAGAGTCTGGGACATGCTACCCCTCTCTTTAAGTGGTAGAATAAACATTGTTAAGATGTCCTTTTTGCCAAGAATTCCCTATCTGTTCCAAAACATTCCTATTTACTTGACAGCATTTTTTTTCCAATCTGTTGACAATATAATTTCTGTGTTCATCTGTGCTCCGTATAAGAAGGGCCAAAGCCACCTCCACCTCCTGAGGAGGCTGAGGTCTTTCAGAGTTACTTATCATCTGCCAAAATCCTTTTATCACTCTGTGATGTCTTGTGTTACTTTCTTTTAAATATGAATATATAGTTCTCCTCTTTCTTCTTTTGAGCATAACAGTTGTAGTTATCATTACACATGTTGATATCTTGTTATTATTGCTGTTATTACATTATATTAACACACACACACACACACACACACACACACACACACACACACACACACACACAGCACACAAACACACACACACACACACACACATATATATATATATATATATATATATATATATATATATATATATATATATATATTAGTTAGTTTTTGTATTTTGTAGTAAATTTTCACCATTTTTTTTCCAGTTCAGATGAAGTTATTGTTAATAAATTTTGCTCCAATGGGACTAAAGTACTTCCTCTGTAAGTCAAATGTCCGTTTTAACGCAGGCATCAGAGCATCGCCTCCCAACGCGCAGGGGCTCATCACCTTCTGTCTTTTCCGAGGACTGCATCTTGTCGGTCATTATCACGTGACAGCGACTATTCTATGAAAGGCATAAAAAGTCACTACAGAGCAGTGAAGTCGACTAGTTGATACAACCTCTAGCGCAGAGCTCTGATCGTTGACGCGCTCCAGACAGATGTGTTCTGAGCATGGTCGCAGTAACATTCTCAAAGTGTCGCCACCTCAAAAACAAATTTAACACGCGATCGTTCATGTTTAGCTCATATCCTTTTATGTTTTCTGTCTTTTATTTGTGCCTGATGTGTTTCGCTGCTGTGGAGCGGAGCGCATCACCTGTTTGTCCTCCGGTGACGCACCTCACTGATGTGGCCGGTGCGCACTCCGCTGTTTTAGCGGTCGGTAGATCTTTTAGAACTGCAGTTCAAAGGTAACTCATGAGGTGAATATATATGAACCCAGGTAGCAGTTTCTCTTTAGGATTGAGAGGAGAAGCAGGAAGATAATAAACAGGCAGGACAGAAAAATAGTCAAATAAAAACAAGTTAGTTTTTGTACCTGGTGGTTGCAACAAACAGACACCATTGAAGGTAATCAGAAGTGAGGAACAGAAAATGAAATAATTATTTTAATGTTTAGAGCAGCAGGAACTCTGAGAGGCTGCAGGCGCATCAGTGAGTTTGCGGCCGCTGCGTGGGGGGAGGGGGGAGAGCTGAAGCAGGGGAGGGGGGAGAGGGATGAAGCAGCTGGGGAAGAGTAAAGATGCTGAAAGTACCGTTCTTAGAAGAAATGTTAACTTAGTACATGTGGGCACAATTTTAATTACTTGTCAACTTGTTTCTCCAACGTTAAGACTGCTGCACAAAAGAAAAAGACTGCTGCTCGCGTGGGCCCCCTAGTGGCTGCGAGCCCCTAGGCCTGTGCCCAGTTTGCTCGTATTATAATCCGGACTTGACTGAGTCCACTGATCTCAGGCTCAGGGGGAGAGAGGTCCAGAGTCTGGGGGCCACAGCAGCAAATGATCTGTCACCTTTGACCTTTAGCCTGGTGCTGCACAACCAGTAGGCTTTGATCACTGGACCTCAGGGACCTGGTGGGCGTGTAGAACATTATTAGAGTAGAACACAAAGAACATGTTTTTATGGCATGATTATGTATGTTACATACATTAATATTATACCGTGAATAATGTGTTGACTCTTGATTTGGAGAAAATTGAGAGTTGAACTGAAATCGTAATTTCTCCTAGAAAAAGTGCAATTGAATCTTGTCCTAAAATGGTTCAGCCCTGGTGCATAGTGCTGTTAACGGTGTAGTGATGAATATAGATTTGGTTTCAGATTCCCTCCTTGTTTGCTGCTAAGTGTGATACAAAGAAAACTTAGTGTGACGATGGTATTGTTCTTCTTCGTGTGAACCCGACAAAAGCTATTCTGAGAATAATTTGGATTTCCGCTCCAACGGCCTCCTGTTGGTTGTTTGTTTCTCCAGGGTGTGGGTAAAAACAAAATAGTGGATCGGTTTCTGCACCTTCTCAACAGGCCAAGGGAGTACCTGCAGCTCCACAGGTGAGTAAAGGTCATGTGATCATCAAAGACTCAGAAATACAACTAAATCTTGTCTCACAGTTTCCACTGGATGAAGTTGGTTCAGTTTGTACTTTGTCGCTCTATCAGACGTCTGAACCTCTCTCAGTATTTCTATTGTTGCTTAAGTGAGGAGAAAGAAAGTCTTGAGCTTCATGGTTCCTCATTGCCAGAGATGAGATGTGCTTTATCGGTCCCAGAACTGGGAAGCAACTGGGCAGCAGCAGCACACAAAACAACAGATAAATAGATACTCTACATAACCTAAAATATTAGATATCTAATTATTATATAACTGTTGTGGTGGTGATTCTCGACTAGCTTTACTTTAGCCAGTGTGGAGCTGGACAGACAAAGGTAGGGACTCCCTGGCCTGAGCACCCTGACTGTTGTGAAGAGTCCCATATTTTTGTCACTCGTGTCAGAGCTTAAAAATCATATGTTGTTTTGATGCATCCTGTAACTGGGATGGCTACAGATAATAACTCACCATTCAGTGTTACAGGTAACTAGATCAGCTATGTGTATCAGTGTCTTAGAAAAGATGTGATGGCTGGGATCAGAAACTCATCTGGCTGAATTACGGATGTTGAATTAGTTATCAAATAAATGACAACCCATCCGATGCCAGTGTGAAGAGCCTACGTTAGCAGCAGTGGAGTAGGAGTACATGGGAGATCCTGCCGGCAGCAAAGTTGGCTCGACACAGATGGTGACTTGTTAGATTCAAAGGTCATAGGCCCCTCAAATCTGCACAGCGGGTCAGTGAGACACTCCCCTGGGTGACTAGCTGAAAGCTGGTGGGTTGTTTTGTTTCTGATGCAGCTTTGCAGGTTAAAACAAATAATGTACTAATTGGTGACCTCTGACCATGCCTTTCCAACGCTACATAGGACCTATTATTAAAAAACACTTTCATTTTAGCCATCACAGCTCAAACTGACTCATGACAGACGGTACCGCTGGCTAACGCCTTGCACATAACTTTAGGTCACGAGGTCAAACAATAATTTCTGATAGGGCAATGGCGACTGGAGAGATGCTCCAATCACTGTTTCGCTGCAGCCAGGTTCCTCTCAGGTAAGGGTGGGATGGCTTGTTAGTACTAAAATAGCATACATGTGTTTACTATGTCTGGTCTGATTAACCTCAAAAAGAAAAAAACATGAATCCCAAAAGAATCGATCAGTTCCTATTTTTACCATTTAAACTTCTTCCCTACATGTTGAGATCACTGGGCAGTTGTGAAAGACCTGAACAGAAGTTTGCTTGTGGTTTGTTAACAGTGTCACCTCTCTTCTGTTTGTTCCTCCAGAGACACAACGGTCCAGACTCTAACCCTGCAGCCCTCGCTGAGGGACGGCGTTATTGTGTACGAAGACTCTCCTCTGGTCAGTCTGAATGGTTGCACCTGCTCTTAGAGCCAGAAGAGATGTTTTCAGATCAGACAAATCAGCACAGACAACTGATTTTCTGGAAACTTGAGTCTTCTACTTTGGCAGCCTGTGTGAGATGTATCATCAGGAGCATGTGTCCATGGGAACGTCCTAAATGTGGTTTGTAAGAACAAATATACAACAGTGTCTATGAATGTTTGGTGAATGAGGGCCCTGGACACTACACTGCTCATTAGGGACAACAGTAGTCATAAGGATGCCAGAGAATGCTGCTGTTGTGTCCTTGGGCAAGACATTTAACCTGCCTTGGCTGCTGGTGGTGGTCGGAGGAACCTGCGGCGTCCGTGTTTGGCAGACCTCGCCTCTGTCAATGCGTCCCAGGCCAGCTGCGTCTACATTATAGCTCGTCCTCATCAGTGTGTGAATGGGTTGTGGAACCTGAAGAAGGTGCTATACAAATAAAGGCCATTTACCATTAGAATGGACCAGGCCCTGGATATACAGGGACCTCATTCATCAGTTGTACTTATGCGCAGATCTGTGCACAATTGGTGCGTAGGAACTGATAAAAGCACTGTGCTATTCATCCTTTTGTACTGGTGCTTGGAAATGTTCCAAATATAAGAAAATCTCACCATGGGTACGAGCAGCATCTAGTGGTAGAACGGGAGAAACACTATACTGAAGTTCTCAGTTGTCCATGCATGTTCCTCATCCACAGATTATTTGACTTGATAAATAATCACCAGCCACCTCCAGGTTTTCACCATGTTACTAAACAAAGAGTTAATGTGGTGTTTAGGTCTTCAGCACATCTACACATGCTGTGTTTGTGTGTTCAGGTGAAAGCCGTGAAGCTGGGACATGTCCTTGTGGTGGACGAGGCCGACAAAGCTCCCACTAATGTCACCTGCATCCTCAAAGCCCTGGTGGAGAGCGGAGAGATGATCTTGGCTGATGGTCGCAGGATCGTCTCAGGTACATCTCTCTGACCCTACTGTGCACTGGAAGCATCAGCGGCGTGGAACGGCAGCAAAATGGCTCTGCGATAGTCAGACGCGTCCCAGAAGCCGCTAAAGATAGGATCGGGTTCTGTTTTTGCCGCGAGCCGTTTCCGAGATGCGTGAATTGCTGCAGCTAGCATAGGGCTAGACAGGAAATCGCACACGCTTTCAGTGTAAAATCACCGGTCATTTTCTAAATGACTGCAGCGATATTTCATATATATGAAGCTTACGTGTGACCCAACAGCTTGTTTACTCGCAGCATCATTCCAGAAGTGCAGTGGCGTGTTTTCATGGTTTTGATCCTGGCAGTGGAGAGAGCAACATCATACATGACATCAAACAGCGATGATGAGATTTTCTTTGTTTTGGCTTAATGGCAGAATGCATAAACAAACCGTAACTATTGGAGTCTCAAACGGTCGTGTAAGCTTGTGAGGAGGTCGGTGGAAGTCTGGAGGGATTTTGTGAACCTGCGAGCCAAGCGAGAAGCACAACAGAGAAGCCGCTTTGCTGCTGAGACTCTCCTGGCGTGCACTCCAGTGCAAGTGAACCATTCCTGTCACGTTGCAGGTTAGGAGGAGGTTGTTAGGACCCAAGATGCAGATTGCCCCAGATGACACGAGGCAGGAGCGGTTTAAAAGTTAATCCTTTTATTTAGGATGATGAACGAAAAAAAAATCCAAAAAGGGCAGCAGGTGTGTGGAGAGAGAACCAGGTGAAAGCAATTAACTAATCAGCGAGGAAACTAACATGACCTAACCCCCGCTTTCCACGGGAGCCGTCAGCAGCACGTTACTGCAGCAGCACGTCATAGCTGCTGATAGGAACCGCTGTGGTCAGCAGAACCTTTTCCACTGGAGCCGTCAGCAGCGCGAGTCGGCCGCATCTCAGGAGCAGCATGTCGCGGCCTTTACGCGCCGGTTCTATTTTCTACGCGCGACGCCTCTGAAACGGGTCAAGTTCGACATTTTTGGGGAAGGAAAGACAGGAAATCGAACGCGGAAATGGAGAGAAGCTACCGAGATTTTCAGAATAAAGAACGTACTGCTTTCCGGTTGCTTTACTTTTAAAAAAGGTTACTAACTGTGCATCCCCAGGGGCAGATTTAGCAATTTGGGGGCCCAAGGCGAACACAGACATGGGGCCCCTTACACTAAATTTTCGACAATCTTACCTTTAACTGGATTTGCGAAACTCTACCCTCTTCTGACATGAGTTATTTTCCCTTTTTATTAGTACTCCTGCTTTCTTTTTTCTGTCAGCGCTCCTGTGCTTTAGCCTTAGTTATTTTTTTTCTATTTTCCATTTTGGTCTGTTTTCCTCCCTTTAAACATTTTCCATTGTCTTTCTTTTCTGCTTCCTTTTGATGTTTACATCGAAAAACAACGTCACTTTCAGAAGTGAAGATAAAAGCTTTTATGAAGCGAGCTGCTTCTTTCTCTTATTGGAGCCACTAGGATAACTTCATGTCACGCTTAATGTTTTGACTATCGCTTTGAGTTTGTTACGAATGCTCCCGCCTCTCTTCATATTCTTTTTTTATGGTCTTATGGCACTTGGCAAACAACAATTTGGTGCATTACCGCCACCAACTGGATTGGAGTGGAATGACTACCAATCACTTCCTGTTTGTGCATCGCAGTCTTAATAACCCTCTTATGACCATAATTATAACAGGGCCGCCTGATATTTTTTTTTAATCTCATGGCTGTAAAATTGTAATAAAAAGTGCAAAGTGTGTGTAACTCTTCTCCTTTTTTCAGAACAACCTCAGCTTTCAGTGTATGGTTTGTATTTCCAAACCACTATAACATTTCACAAAAAGAAACGTGAAGCCACTTCTCCTCCAGCTTCACTGGCCGCCAGTCAACTTCAGGGTTCATTTCTAGATCCTGGTTCTGGTCTATAGGGCCTTACATGGACAAGCACCATCATACATTGGTGATCTTCTTAGTCCCTACACCCCCAGCAGGTCCCTGAGGTCCGGTGACCAAAGCCTACTGGTTGTGCAGCACCAGGCTAAAGACCAAAGGTGACAGATCATCTGCTGCTGTGGCCCCCAGACTCTGGACCTCTCTCCCCCTGAGATCAGTGGACTCAGTGGTCTCCTTTAAAAAGCAGCTGAAGACTCACTTGTTCAAGCTGGCTTTTGTATGACCTTCTTCACCACTCTCTCTTTATTCTGCTCTCCCCACCTATTCCACCTTCCTCACTGATTTCCCTCTTTCCTATTCACTCTCTCTCTTTCTTAACATTTTTTCTTTTAAATCCCAATTGCCTATTTTTGCTCATTTTAAATATATTTTTAAACATTTTCTAAATGCTTTTTTATATTTATATTTTTGTTTTTGTGAAGCGCCTCGTGATTTTTATCTTGACAGGCGCTATAGAAATGATATTTTCTTCTTCTTCTTCTATTTAGAATGTATTTCTATTACAGCCTTTAAAAAATCAGCTTAAAATTGAAAAAAGCAAAAAACGGATTTGAATTTTTTACAGTTATTACTGAACAGGAACTTCAAAATGACTGGGCAAACAATTTAAACTTTGAACTGAAATGTATCTATTCTTAAAAAAGTTTGAACCGGTATCTTTTTTAGCAGTTTTTTAGACCATTTATTTTTGTAAACTTTCAGACGTTTTTATTTGATGTGGTAGACCTTGAAGCAGCTTCTCTCCAGCAGCAGGCAGAGTCCTGCACACCTCACACTGCCATGGGGTGCTTCTCTGGCACACCGTGCACTGCTTTACAGAAAACTTTTGTTTTAGCAAAAATAATTATTTATTGTGAAAAGATAAATAATGCTGGAATGAAGCTGAATCTTACAATTAGTAAATAGTTGAGGGTTGTTCAAATAAAAAAATAAAAAATAAAGACTGAACAAACGTTCATATCCTGGTTCACTGGAGATCTGTCCTTCTTCATGGTCACTGTCTTCAGATATAAGCCTTCTGGGACACCTAATGGATCGTGTTGATTTTCTTTGAGGCATTTCCATAATTTCATGCTGGCTTTTTATGCTGATTAGCTTCCCCGTTCCGTTATCCGCTTTCACCGCGGCGCTGTGCTCCGTTTCAATCAGGCTGTACAGCAGGATTTCCCCTCGTAGCGATATTTCCATAACTCCGATTGCTTCATGCTATAGATCGTTGGAAAGCTGCTTTTATGTACTTTTAGGAATCGTTGGAATTTCCTGGATCTGATCAGCCATTCAAAAGTTATAAAGCATTTTGGATGACAAACTCAGCACGTCTCTTAATCTGTGTTGTGATTCGGTGCGCTCAAGACAGGGAATCCCGGTGGCTACCGTAATGTATTGTATATGCACGGAAAGCCCCGTTTTTAATCTTTTCAGCACTTTTGGAATTTTACAGATATCTTGAACGGTTCAGGAATTATGGTAATGAGAAGTGCGCATGTCCAATCCCGTCTGCGGCCACAGGTTGGTAATAAGAATATTGTGGCATTAACAGAGGGGTGCTGGCGGTCAGGGCTAGGGGGCCCCCCAACACAAGGGGGCCCCAGGCGGCTGCCTACCTATGCCTAATGGTAAAACCGCCTCTGTGCGTCCCTGTGAGAAGTTATCACCTAGCTAGCGGTCTCCTTTGTTTTTCAGGTCCGTATTGGCGATTATAAAACGGACAGAACATAAAACACAAACCATGTTGTAATTTTCTCCTGCTTGTTGTTGTCGTGCTCGGTCGGTGACAGCTGCTCCCCTGCTGCTTCGCGTCTCGTGGGAAGGGCCAAGCAGCAGCTTACGCGAGCAAGACGTGCTGCTGCAGTAACGTGCTGCTGACGGCTCCCGTGGAAACCGGGGGTAAGAGTAAAGAGTAAAAAACCTAAAGATGAGCCAGCAAAATAAACTAATATTCTAGGTGGAAGGGAAACTACAAAAACATGTGGAAAAAACACTCTAAAGAGACTAATAAAATGAGAAGCTGAACCTGTAAAAAACTGCAGAGGGGTGACTGGGGGAGACTGAAGGAACACAGGACCTGGGACGGAATAACTGGAGGGCTGAAGACCAGGGGACACATGAGGAACACAAAGAGACACATAAGGGGGATTCTTAGGGGGGAATGGAGCACACAAGGAGACACATGAGGGAGACGCAGACACAGACCATGACAGTTCCATGCTGCTGATGCTTTCCGTGTGCAGCCGGGTTAGACAGGTCCACTAGATGGAACTGTGGAGGCTCTGAGGCCATTGACGTATTCTAAAGCCTTTTCTGACTGGTACCAGGTGGCCTCAGATCCTATCTACATCCAGAGGAATGTTAACAGAACCTGGCCTTAGGTTTTAATGGAAGCATTTGTTCTACAGATCCAGGTGAGGCTGAGGGGAGACCCGGTACCATCTGCATGCACCCAGACTTCAGGATGCTGGTCCTTGCTAACAGACCCGGGTTCCCCTTCCTTGGAAATGACTTCTTTGGATCATTAGGTACACGCACACGCACACGCACACACACACACACACACACACACACACACACACACACACACACACACACACACACACACACACACACACACACGCACAACATCCCATTTATTGCAGGCGTTGTGTCCTTGGGCTAGACTCCTAACCTGCCTGAGATCGTGGATACAAGCAGCCTAAATGAGTTTTCTCCACGGGGCGGCTGGGCTCTCCCTTACAGATAGAGTGAGAAGCTTGGTCGTTGAGGCAAACTCGGAGTAGATCTGCTGCTGCTCCACACTGAGAGGAGCCATTTGAGGTGGCTTGGACATCTAGTTAGGATTCCTCACGGACGCTTCCCTTGTGAGGTTTTACGGGCACGTCAAACCAAGAGGAGACCAAAGGTAGACTCCGGACACGCTAGAGGGACTATGGCTCTTGGCTGGCCCGGGAATACCTTGGAATTCCCCCTGAAGAGCTGGCCCAAGTGGCTGGGGAGAGGAAAGTCTGGGCCTCCCTGCAACCCGACTCCGGAAAAGCAGAAGAGAATGATGGATCGATGATAGTGTTGGTTTTAATCCAGCGTTTTCTGCTGTGAACTCTCTAACCGGTGACTTCTGTGTGTTCTAAGGAGCTATATTTAGCTGCCGGGCTGTGGACAACCCAAAGCCTCAGGCTGAGCTGGCCATGCTGAAGCAGTACGGACCGGATGTTCCTGATGCCACGCTGCACAAACTGGTGGCTGCGTTTGGAGAGCTGAGGTCCATGGCTGATCAGGGAACCATCTACTACCCCTACTCCACCAGAGAAGTGGTCAACATTGTCAAACACCTCCAGGTAACCAACCCCCACCCAACCCTCACCTCCCGGGAATCTCCACCCACACCTGCAAGAGACACAAAGCATCTAACCGCCGGATCAAAGCCTACATAAACATAAACTAGAGGCTCACAGTTCATCTGGTTTAACTAGGCGGTGTAATAATAATAATAATGCATTGAACTTATATAGCGCTTTTCTAGACACCCAAAGACGCTTTTCACACTCACATTCACACACTGCTAGTGATGGTAAGCTACTTGTAGCCACAGCCGCCCTGGGACGGTCTGACAGAGGCGAGGCTGCCATGTGGCGCTGTCGGCCCCTCTGACCACCACTAACACAGGCAAGTTGGGTGAAGTGTCTTGCCCAAGGACACAACAGCAGGATACCCCTGGCGGGAGCTGGAATCGAACCCATGACTCTCCGATCATGAGGCAACCCGCTCTACCACCTGAGCTACTGCTGCCCCTGGTGTACAGCCCTTATTAGTCTTGGCATCTAACATAGATGTAACGACCTCTAGAGAACCTTCACAATAAGAGCCCTGCCTAAATCAGATTACACTCATAGTGTTTGGATGCTGCTGCAGTGATGTCTAGTGACATAGCCAGACTAAATGCTGGGAGCATGATGCTTTTATCCTGCTGAACATTATCAGTCTGTTATACAAGAACGTGGTTGTGCTTGGTGAGGAGCTCCATGGTAATGTGAGAGAGTAAAATAATTAAAGATAAGACTTTATTGGTCCCACGGAGGGGAAATGTGTGCGTTACCACATCCCAGGACAGGTGGCAAAGGAGTACAAACATGACCAAGAATGCAAAAATAAAATAAGAAAAAACACTTTATACCACACTAGTTCCTATCTAGACACATACACGTTAAGCTTTGTACAGCCTGACACCAGTAATGCTGCTGGTTCTACTGGTTCCAGTTGGTCAGAGAGCAGCTGTGATAAATAATCATGGTCCTGAATTTAATTTCATTTAAATTCTATCCACCAAATTTGCTTTTCAGGCAGTCTATAACTGTAATGCTGCAGTGGGCAATGTGGTAAAAATACATCACAAATAGGGATGTCCCCATCCGATCACATACTTCCTGATCCGGACTCGGATACTGGGTTCAAATTACAGGAGAGCAACTTGGATTTCCTTAAAGGTTGTCAGGCTCCCCTGATGCACTTAACTTACAAACCCAGAAGGAGCACAAAAGAGATCCAGTTTCTACCTTTATTATATTATTTATATGGACTCAGCGTAGCGGGGATTCTTCTGGGCAGAGATGCAGAGAGCAGCAGGCAGACCGCTGATTATTCATGAACTACAGCTGCGTTCTGCACACGGCCACAGTAAGTTTCTAAGTGGCGTCACCAAAAAATATATAATTAACTCACAGTCATTCGTGTCCGTTCATTTTCTCTCTGGTAAGTTCTGTCTGTATTTGAGCATGACGTGCGGATGCGCTCGCACTGCAGCGCTCGTCATTGGCGCAGCCGGGCAGCGCGGCGCGCACTCCGCTTTTTTAGCAGTCAATAGATCAATTTGATCTGCTAGTTAAAAAGTTACTTGTGAGGTGAAAAAGAAGGAAGCAGGCAGGGGTTTTTCTGGAGGTCTGGGAGATGCAGGAAGATCAGAGACAGACAGGACAGGAAGACAGGAAAATAAAAACCAAGAAAACAAAACAAAGTTCTTAAAAAATAAAATGTAGGTAGATTTATCCCACTACACGTTTGTACCTGTAGAAAGCAATAATTTGTCAGCATGTAGTATTTATATAGTTGATACTATTCAGATCATCTTCTAAACTCCGTCCCATGCCCAGGGGCGTATCTAAGCATTTTGGGGGCCGAGGCAAAATAGACCCCTGCCAGGTATTTTAAGTTGAAGTGCTATCTGATTTTATATTAGACTTTTTATATTTGCAATAAAGTCCAAAAGTGAAGAATTTGTTATTTATTACTTGATTGTTCAAGCTACCTCACAGAAGTGATCTGTTGTTAAAAATTAAAATTAAACGTAATTAAATAAAAAATAAGGATCATTCTGGAACTGTTTCTTATTTTTCTTTATTTATTTTTTTATGTATCAAAAGTAAGATCGGGACTCGGTATCGGCAGATTCTCAAAATCAAATGACTCTGACTCGAGGGCAAAAACACCTGATCGGGACATCCCTAATCACAATATTAATTTATAATCTGTAAGCGGCTGAAAATGGATGAATGGATGGACTTTTAAGTGAGATTAGAAGATATCAGAACATAATTTTTGATTTTTAAACAGTTGTTTTCAAATGCTGATCATGTCATCAAACATTGTGTTAGATAAATCGGGTTATTTAGTACTATAACCTACATACAAGAAATGAATTTAAATTTAATTAAATTCAGTTTGTTTAATAAGCGCCAAACCACGTTGTCTCAAGTCACTTCAGCAAGTAAACATTCCAATACAGGTCAGGTCATTAAGCCAATCAGTAAAAAGTTTCCTATATAAGGAACCCAGCAGGTTGGATCGAGTCACTGACTAGTGTCAGAGTCTTTACAGCAATCCTCATACTAAGCAAGCATGTAGTGACAGTGGAGAGGAAAACTCCCTTTTAACAGGAAGAAACCTCCAGAGGATATTCTTCTGGCACCTGGAGAGTACAGACTCTTCTCTTTTTCTCCCTTATCTTATTTTTCTTAAGGCTCTTGTCCTTTCTGCCTACAGAGCGCTTCTCTTCATTCTTCCTGAAAACACAATTTTTATTAAATCATGGATTTGGTTAACTGGTCATCTAACACGACTGACAAGATTGTTTTCAACAATGAGAACGGAGCAGGGGGCTCCAACTTGTCTGGATGGAACGCACCCCGTGGGGTATATATTGGATTCCTGGAAGGAGTGGAACATTATATGCCTTTCCCAGCTGTCCATGAAGGACATCAAAGATGTATGGATTTTCCGGCTGATAATTACTGGATTTCTTCTAATTGGACTGGGAGAATTTCTGGTATTTTGGGAAGTTGGGAAGTTGGGGGCGATTGGAGTGCAACCCGTACCCATGGAAAGTCTCTGCCGTGTGTAAACTCCTCAGATTGGGACGCTGCTTTACGTGAATCCCAACTAAGTAGATGTTCTAGCTGTGATCCCAGTGTTAGTGCGCATAATGGATGTGATCTTGGAGAAAGTCACTGCACAGTATGAGCAAGCTTAAACCCAATAATTAGGTTTACTGAGAGACTGGAATGATCAGTTAAAAACAGAAAGGTCGAGAAAAAATGATCTAATTTGACCCTCAAAATGACCCTGTAAAGAAGTTGTCAGAACTACAACTCTGTAGTTAAGGCCAGGAAGTTAAAGTGGAAGTAAAGCAAGTCTTCATATCATCCAGCATATCATCGTCAGAACTTGATGGTCATTTTTTGCAGTGTTTGCCAACCCTGGTCCTCAGGGCACACTGTCCTACATGTTTCCATGTCTCTATTACAGCACACCTGATTTACATCAACTCCTCAGGAGGACATCAAGTGCACCAGGTAACTGTTAATCAGGGTCGAGGAGGGATAGGAAGAGGGTTGAGGAGACCAGAGGGATGTTGATTGCCACTCTTACCTCTGGCACAGATGTGGCAAGCTGCGACGTAGCTCTTGACATCTGCATAGAGGGATGGCCACCAAAACATGCGGTGGAGAAGGGTAACCGCATGCTCCACACCAGGGTGCATGGAAAAACGCACTTTGTGGGCCCAGTGGATAAAGGGACCTTTGACCTGGTTGGGGTCATAGTGAGCCTGGTGAGGTGGACCATTATATGAACCTGGGTCATTTTTGAAGGGCTTGCAGTACTTGTGAGCGAATGTCCCAGGCGAGGGCCCCAATGATGCATGAGGAGGGAATGATGGTGGTGAGTTAAGGTTTGTTGTCGGAGAGAATTGTTGGGAAAGGGCGTCTGGTTTAGTATTTTTGGCTCCGGGTCTATAAGAGATGATGAAAACGTAAAAAGAACCAAGTTCAATGGTATTGCCTGTGGTTGAGTCTTTGCGTTCTTGAGATAAGCCAGGTTCCTATGATTTGTCCATATCACCACTGGATGCTCTGCCCCTTCGAGCCAGTGTCTCCAATCCTCCAGAGCGAGTTTGATTGCAAGGAGTTCTCTGTTTCCAACATCATAATTGTGTTCAGCAGGAGAGAGGCATCTGGAGAAAAAGGCACAGGGGTGGAGAGTGTGGTCGTTAGGGGAAACCTGAGAGAGCATGGCTCCTACCCCGGTGTCCGAAGCATCAACCTCAACGGTGAACTGTCTGGAGGAATCAGGTCGAGTGAACACTGAGAAGTGGGTGAACCTGTCCTTGAGCTGAGAGAATGCGACTTGAGCCCGACTGGTCCACACAAACGGTCTAGAAACAGAGGTCAATCTGATTAAAGGTGCTGCAGTTTGTTGTTATGGATAAAGTGACGATAGAAGTTTGCAAAACCAAGGAACCGTTGAAGCTGTTTCCGGTGGTGGGTGTTGGTCACTCCAGGACTGCTTGGATCTTTTCAGGGTCTACCCTCAACCGCCCGCCCTCCAATATGAATCCTAGAAACTTTCCTGAAGACACGTGGAAGTTACACTTCTCAGCCTTAACATAAAGCCTGTTTTGCAGAAGGTGCTTGTTGTGCTTGCTTCTTGTGCTCTGTGGGATCTTTAGAAAAAAATACGGATGTCATTGAGATATACTGAAACAAAATAATTGATGTAGTCACCTAGTTCAGAATTGATGAGAGTCTGGCAGATGGCTGGTGCGTTGGTCAGACCAGAGGGCATCACAAGGTACTCAAAGTGACCGAGGGGTGTCTTGAAAGCTGTCTTCCACTCATCATCCTGCTTGATCCTGACCAGCTGGTATGCATTCCGGAGGTCCAGCCTCATAAAAATGGTGGCATTCTGGACCAGCTCGAAGGTGGAAGAAAGCAAAGGTAGTGCATATTTACTTTTCACAGTAATGAGATTAAGCCCTCTGTGATCAATACATGGCCTTAGTGTTCCG